CCCCCCCCCAATAGCTAGCAATCCAAAACAGTCCAGTGGCACCTTTAAGACCAAGTTTTATTCAGGTACAAGCTCTCCCTCCTCTGCGAGGACAGATCTGCACGTTCCCTCCCCCCCCAATAGCTAGCAATCCAAAACAGTCCAGTGGCACCTTTAAGACCAAGTTTTATTCAGGTACAAGCTCTCCCTCCTCTGCGAGGACAGATCTGCACGTTCCCTCCCCCCCCAATAGCTAGCAATCCAAAACAGTCCAGTGGAGCCTGAGCGGTGGGTGTTGCCTCCTGACACACTTCCGGTGACGTCAAGGGGTGTGGCATATGCTAATGAGTTATGCTAATGAGTTATGCTAATAAGCTCCTGCACCTCTTTTTCTATGAAATGACCCCTGAGTACAGGTTTCCTGTTTCCAACGGTGGCCTGGAAGAGACCTTGGGGAAGCTTATGGGAGCGTCAAGACAACAACAATTTCCCATTCATCCCCAACATTTGGTACTTAGAGGAGGTTACTTGGTTAACAGCTGTCCATAGACCCCTCCTCTCTCTTTAAAGACACCCTCTTTGGTTTACTGTACCCAGCAATAGCGTCTCACAGAGCGAAAGAATCGTTCCATTCAAAGCACCGAGTCACTTAAAGCGGTTCTTCAGATCAGCAGTCTGGCGCCCGACTCTCGATAAACAGAGGAGGAACCTCAGAGGCACAAAGCGTGTTTCGTGCAGCTTCTACGAGTTATGAAAGCATGCCTGCATCCAACAGCAGGGGGAAGCCACTTGGAACGGCTGAGGCCTCGCTTGTCTGCAAGAAGAGTCCCTCAAAAGACCTCTCTCCGAGCTCAGTGTGTTTTTCTGGCCCCTGTATAACGGCAGATATCTACAATACAGCCTTTCATGCAGATAGATTCTGGTGGGGCAACCGTGTCGGTCTGAAGCGAGAGGACAAAGTTTGAGTCCAATGACACCTTTAAGACCAACAAAGCTGAATTTATGTGTATGCCCACTTCTTCAGATACATTGAAACAGATTTTGCTAACCATTACATATAGATGGGTGGGGGTTAGTTGCCAGGAATGGCTAACTGGAGTCAAGAAGATGCATAAGCAACTGAACCCCCAGGGCTTAAGAGAGATATCAGGTTGTTATCTCACTACACACGCTATGTCACTCAGTTCTTGCATCGGTTTGTTAACTCTTTTATTATCTGTGTGCTAATCTGCTGCTATTCACAGGTTTTACCAACTGCTTTAATATTTATTTTTATTTATTTATTAGTATTTTGACCCCGCCCTCCCCGGGAGCGGGCTCAGGGCGGCTTACGAGAGGGCAACAATGCCCACATACAAAACAAGATTAAAACCGCTTAAAACAAAAATAAAATCATTGAATCACAAAAGTAAAGTGCTCTACAAAGAACAAGAGGGTCTCCCCAACGGTAGGTGCCGACTTATAGGTAGGCCCTATAAGAACGGGGGCAAGCGGGCCCAGGCAGAACTTTGAGACAGTGTAGTGGGAGACCACGCTACTGAGACAGCTGGCCACCAAACCTGGGGGCGGGGGTTGTCCCCATCTTGGATGATTAATATAGGTATAGCACCGTATTATTGGAAGGTTTTATTGTGATTTTAAAGGTTCTATTTATTATACACTGTATTGTATTTTGCACTCGGCTTTGCCGCATGCGAGCTGCCCTGAGCCTTTGGGAGGGCGGGATATAAATCAAACTAATAAATAAATAAATTTAGCAGTACTTATCACTCAGTTACTTATGCATCTTGACTCCAGTTAACCCTGCCTGGCAATTAACTCCCCCCCCACGCACCTCTACGTAATTGTCAGCAAAGTCTGTTTCAATGCCTCTGAAGAAGTGTGCGTGCATACAAAAGCTTATACCCAGAATTAAACTCCGTTGGTCTTCAAAGTGTCACTCGACTCAAACTTTTTCAATACTACCTGACCTAGAAGGATTTTTTTTTTAAAAAGTATTTGGGGGAGGTGTGACATTAGGACTTTTGATATGACAGAGTCAGTACGGGACTCACGGGCCATCTAGTCTGACGCGCAACAGGAAACCCACAACTAGCTGACAATTGTCCAGCCAGCTGCCTGGAAGCCTCCAGGGGACAGGTTCCTTCCACCCAAATAACTGGGTCCAGAGTCAAACTTCACTCACCGTTAGGGAGCTTCTCCTATCTACTCTCCCTTAACTTCGAGTCCATTAGCTCTAGTCTTCCCCTCTGGAACAAGAGAGCGGCTTGTTCCCCTTCCACCTAATGGGGAACTGAAGAGCCCAAAGGCATCTCTCCTCAACAAAGCTTTACTGCCAACACCACTGAAGCAGGTGGCTGTTGCTACATCTGTGGGCAGCAAAGTTCTATGTACCGTTTTGGAGTCCCACCTCTGAGGAAGGGCTTTCGGCCAGCAAAGCCCCTCTGTCCCCCTCCTAGGAAAGGTAAAGGTTCCCTTGCTCGAAAGCCAGTCGAGTCCGACTCTAGGGTCGCGGTGCTCATCTCCGTTTCAAAGCCGAAGAGCCAGCGCTGTCCGAAGACATTTCCGTGGTCATGTGGCCGGCATGAGTAAACACTGAGGCACACAGAACGCTGTGACCTTCCTACCGAAGTGGTACCTATTTATCTACTTGCCATTTCTTGCTTTTGAACTGCTAGGTTGGCAGGAGCTGGAACTGGAGACGGGAGCTCACTCTGGCATGCTGCGCACTCGGGTCTTGAACTGCTGAACTACCGACTTTCCACAGCCTGCAGTTCAGCGTCTTAACCACTTGAGCCCTCCTGCCGCAGCCTAAAAAAGACCCCCACCACGTTGCTCCTAAGGCGAAGAGGGGACCCCCCCCCGCGAACATTATGGGGGGCTGTGGCGGGAGGGGGGGGAACTGGTGAAACCCACCCACCCCCCTTCCGCTAGGGGAAATCTCCCATGGTGTCCACCCCCCTGCACAAAGACACACTTTAATTCCTCTGACTTGAACCTTCTGTGGATCAATTTCATTGCTGCTGATGTTATGAGGAGCGGAGGAAAATGCCTCCCCCCCACAACTCCCCCCACCCCCCTGCGCTTGGCAGATGCTCGTCTGCAACTGGGGTAATTTTGCGACTATCATCTGGAACGCCGGCCTTCGGAGAAATCAGACGCTTTCCGCCACGAGGCAGCCTCTCCTGCCCTGGGAGACCGGATGGGCTGCGAGTTTTGTACAATTACCACTGAGAGCCTCGTTTAACCGAGCAAGCAGCAAGTCGTTTGATTAATTAATTCCCAGGGATCCGGTCGACGCCAGCGGAGGGTATCGCTCTGACAGCTGCTTCTGATGGGCGAGTCTGAGCAGACGGCACGTTCAGCTCTTCGGAGAGGAAAGGAAGACAAGCCCCGACCAAAGCCCCACTACTTAAATGGTGGCCGTAAAATACGCAGTGTGTTAAAAAAGGTAAAGGTCTCCCTTACTCGAAAGCCAGTCGAGTCCGACTCTAGGGTTGCGGTGCTCATCTCCGTTTCAAAGCCGAAGAGCCAGCGCTGTCCGAAGACGTTTCCGTGGTCATGTGGCCGGCATGACTAAACACCAAGGCGCACGGAACGCTGTGACCTTCCCACTGAAGTGGTTCTTATTTATCTACTTGCAGTTTCTTGCTTTTGAACTGCTAGGTTGGCAGGAGCTGGGGCCAGAGATGGGAGCTCACTCCGTCATGCGGCACACTCAGGTCTTGAACTGCTGAACGAACAACCTTCCACAGCCTGCAGTTCAGCGTCTTAACCACTTGAGCCACCACAGCTCCTACCCAGTGTGTTAAGAGCAGACAAAACCCAGCAACTGAAGCAACACATCATGTAGAACTGTGGTGACTGACTGGACCCACTTAGAACCTCTTTGACTGAAATAAAGTCATGCATTGACCACTAAGTCTCAGCGCTGCACATTAAAAAACATTCGATTTTTGCAGGGCACAGGCCTCCCATCTCCAAGGGAGAGACTGAGGTTTATTTATTTGTGCAAGGTTCAAAGTGAAGCTCTGCACTTCCCAGTCAAACAGTCGATGCGTTAATTAGACTTTAATTTAAATAATCCGGGAACTCTAAACACGCGGGACTTAAAATTGTACCATTCTGGGCTGTGAATAGAAGGAATCACACGAGGGTTGGGGACCCTGGGCCTAGGCCTTGCCGTTCAAATTCCCAGAAGCCTCCGAAAGTGTAAAATTCACCTGGGCTTTCACACACACACACACACACACACACACACACACACACTATCCCTTGAGCCACAGGACAAAACTCAGACCTGCTCCAAGCACCACCCACCAGTCCACCTTTCCCCTCTAGCTCCTCGTGGCGAAGACAGGGGGCGTTTCACAGTCCCACCCCGACGCCCGCGCTCACGTGGCCAACGCGCAGATGTTCTTGTGCCCGCAGAAGGGGAGCCGGACGGTCGCAAAGGCCCGGCCTTGGTTGAACATCTCCGTGACCTGGGCGGGCAGGTAGTTCGTGGAGACCATCAGCACTTTCCCGAAATAACCCGTCCAGGTTGTGGGCTCCTCCTGAGGTCTGGAAGTGAGGAGGGAGAGGAGAGCGTCAGACAGAGGATCTGGTTATCGTTCACGGGCGGCGAGAGCCCCTCTTCTATTCGACGGCATTCCACTCTACAGATACGTCCCTTGCGCCACCTAACAGAGGTGCTGGACGTCGAAAGCAACGAATCAGGGGCGCTCAAAGACGGGACCGGGGATTTCCTTCTGGTTTATTTTCAAAAGAAAGGGGTGTGTGGAGAGAAGTCCCTCCCAAACAGGCTTGATGAGGAGTGAGCATGCGCTGAATGGACAGAACGTGGACAGCACGCCATCTTGCCTTCATAACGACTGTATGCACTTTGATTGACATTCTGTTGATGGTTTAAATGGTTTTAAATGTTTTATAGGAATCTTGGCACACGGGCCAAGTAATGTGAGCCTCCCTGAGCCCGATTGCGGGGAGGGCGGGCTATAAATGTAATCGATCGATCGATTGATCGATCAATAAAGAAGAAAAGGAAGGAGTGGGAAATCAATCTGCTCAACCCCCAGGAAGTTTAGAAAGCCCTATAGGGCGAAAGCCAAATTCCCTCTAGGTAAAGGTAACGGTTTCCCTTGCTCGAAAGCCAGCCGAATCCGACTCTAGGGACGCGGTGCTCATCTTCATTTCCAAGCCGAAGAGCCAGCGCCGTCCGAAGACGTTTCCGTGGTCATGTGGCCGGCAGGACTAAACACCGAGGCGCACGGAACGCTGTTCCCTTCCCACCGAAGTGGTACCTATTTATCTACTTGCAATGTCTTGCTTTCGAACTGCTAGGTTGGCAGGAGCTGGGACCAGAGACAGGAGCTCACTCCGTCACGCAGCACTCGGGTCTCGAACTGCCGAACTACCGACCTTCCAGCCTGCAGTTCGGCATCTCAACCACTTGAGCCACCGCAGCCTCCAATACCCCTTTAATTTGCTCACACCCTCCCGGTTTCTGGAACCTCGCCTCCTCTGATGCTGAACTCATCTTCTCAGATAGTTCCAAGGCCGCATTCTCACAATGCTGCCCCTTTCATAAGGGAACTGGGTTACAATCCCACCCACCCCCGGCCATGAAGCTCACTTGAGAAACTTGGGGTCAGCCACCCGGACTTAGCTTGACCTGGCTGCCGAGGGGCCGTAAGCGGAGATGTGGGGTGGAACCACATATGGTCCCTGGAATGTCTTGGAGAATGGGAACGTTGTGTTGTTGTTTTTAAACCCTAATAGCTGCAGAATACCACAAGAAATCCCCAAAAACCGCAGATCGCTCTGCTCAAAGAGACACTGGGCTTCGACATCATTGCCCTGCGACCTGAGCCGAGATTCTGTTAATTCATTTATTTAAAAATATTCATTACCCCCACCACCACCACCACCACCAATCTCCTCAGCTTCAAGGCAGTCTCAGTCCCAAGTGGCCTGCCGCCACAAAAGAAGCTCGAGCTTCAGAGTCACAGAGAACAGGAACAAAGGCATTGTGTGCAAAAAAAAAAATAATTGGGGGCAGAGAGAAAAACCTCAATATTTTTCTTTGAAACTGCAGGCAAACCACTCCCCACGCCACAATTTCAGTTTGCCGACGACCTCAGCGGCCTGATGTAGCCTGCAGGCCACCCCGATCGAACGGCACGCAACTCCCTGGGCCTGGCAGGGGACTCACTTTTCTTTCACAGTCTCGAGTTTGAAAATGTGCACTGTCTCTGTGTTGCTGGACGCCGACAGGAACATGCCGTCCATGCTGAAGGCCAACGAGGAGATGCTGACGCACCTAGGGGGAAACAAGGGGACAGGCCGTCAAGCCCCCACGCCTCTTAAAAGGAGCGCTCAAACGAAAATGAACTGGTCTGGGGAGAGAGGTGACGGCGGCCGGCTCTCGGAAGCCTTGCAGAGGCCGTGGGACTCTGGAGCCCTTTTCGCAGTTGGGAAGGTGACTCGGGAGACGGTGTTGTACGGGACTGAGCCAGAAACAGTCTGAGCCCGGCAGAACTCATTTACTGCAGCGATGCGACCTGTCCCTTGCATTAAGTTCTGACCCAAGCTAGCTTCTTCTCCGTATTGTGGTCCAACACTCTAAGGACTGCACCAGCTCAATATCCATTTAACTGGAGATGCTGAGGATAGAACCCGGGACCTTCACTGTGTTGAGAAAAAAGAGTTTCCGGCTAAACATTCGGAAGAACGTCCTGACAGTTAGAGCGGTCCTTCAGTGGAACAGGCTTCCTTGGGAAGTGGTGGGCTCTCCTTCTTTGGAGGTTTTTAAGAAGAAGAAGAGATCGGATTTATACCCCGACCAATGTTCCCTCTAAGCTATGGAGTCCTGTGAGCAAAGATTCTACTCTGTGAGCTACTGGCATTAATGTTGTGAGCAAGTAATTTGGCTACTGCAGAAATTAGTTTGCTCTGGAGCCATCCCTTCCTGAGCTAAGACAAAAATGTGTGAGCCAGAGGCTAAAAAACTGTGAGCTGGCTCACACTAACTCAGCTTAGAGGGAACACTGACCACGACCTTCACTCAGAGTCTCGGAGCGGCTTACGATCTCCTTTCTCTTCCCCTCCCGACAAGAGGCACCCTGTGAGTGGGGCTAAGAGAGCTCTTTTGAGAGCTGCTCGGGAGAGAGCAGCTCTGAAAGAACTCGTAACCGACCCAAGGTCACACCAGCAGCCGTATGTGGAGGAGTGTGGAATCAAACCTGGTTCTCCCAGAGTAGAGTCCGTGTTCCTAACCACTACACCAAACTGGCTCGATGGCCATCGGACAGCAATGCTGATCTTGTGAACTTAGGCAGATCGTGAGAGGGAGGGCAGGTTGCTTCAGTGCTTAGTTCCCTGTCTTACACGCCCGGGGAAATGCCGATTGCCACTTCGGGGTCAGGAAGCCATTGTTCTCCAGGCCAGTTTGGGCGGGGGTCCTGGAGGTTTTGTTTTGCCGTCTTCTGGGCATGGAGCAGGGGTCACTGAGGGCGTGGAGGAGGTAGTCAGGGGTCATTTCCTCCGGGAGCGCACAGGAGCAGAGCTCCGGCAGTAAGGAGTTCAGGGGGCGGGCACATGCAACAAGCCCCGCCCCCTGCTCCCAGCAGCCCTCAGTTGGGCCACGAGGAGCAAGAAGCAGCCGGGTAAGTTGCAGAGCCTCCCCCCCCCAGCCTGCCTTCAGGTACAAGCTCTCCCTCCTTTGTGAGGGCAGATCTGTGCATCCC